GGATCATCAGGGGGTCCTTTTGTCCCTCTGTGGGGGGACACTCCCACCAGGTTTATATCTGGGACTCTCCACCATTTGACCTTAGAACTGAAGAAGCCTCTCGGATGAGAGGTGAAACGTCTTCAAGTAACTTAAAGAAGTCCAGACGCTTTTCTTTGCAAGCTCCTTTGACAACATGTTCCAATACATTTTAAAGAAATTCTCTACTAACACATTAATAAGTAAAAATATAAAACTCCCTGTTAGTGGCAGAGAGAAAATTTGTATGGTGAGCATCATCACCTCCAAGCAACAGGTTTCTGTGTTCAACTTGCTGCTGGAGCTTGCATTGGATTTTCTCTGGGTACCTGAACAGGCGTGTTAGGTTTGAATGCTTGTCTGTCTTGTAAAATCAGAATATTGCTTAAATTATCAGTCACAACTTTTGGAATTTAAAGTGCTATTTAGCGTGATCAAAATATGTGGACGGTATAGATAAACTGTTAGGTCCTCAATATATCTGTAATTTTATCATACAGTAAATAGCTGTGCAACACATTGAGGAGAACTTTGTGGGCAATTAATGGCGCCTTATTAAAATATTGTAGTTAATTACATACAAAAAATGTGTTATCCTACACTCAATATTCAGCCAGGGGATCTATTTTAAGTCTTAACTCGTGTGTGAGAATATATGTATGCTTAGGTATGCAAGATAAAGTAACAAAAAAAGCAACAGGCGCAAGGCTCAAAGAGATGGAAATAAAATCAAGTGTGAAACTAAGGAGACAAAGAAATGTAGAGCTAGGCGGAAAACTTTGGTTCCCTGAGTCTCTAAAATGAACCTTTTGTATAAACTTTCTTCTGAGGCCAAGATCAAAGCGAGGCATGCAAAGTCAGATGTGAAACCTTTTCACACAGCATGGAAAACTCACTTGTTGACGTTCAACTGAAACACAAGTGGGTCCGCAGTGAAAATGCTTCGAAGCATACAGTACTGAAATAGCCACTTAGCCTCTTAATTGCACAGGGTTCTTTTGTGCCCATAGCTTGTGGGTTAAACTGATTTGTTTCCTATCAGATGGCCTTATTGTTTAGAAAAATGCAGATAGCAGTTTACACCACCCAGCGAATTATTCAGCCATTCATTTTCCTCCCACTTGTCAAATCCAGGCTAACCAAGAAGTTGGGCATACCCTGGACAGGTTGCCAGTGTGTTAGAGGCCTTAATCAGAGAAAGGCAGGCAACTATTCACATCTATTAGTTAAGAGTCACCAATTAAACTAACATGCATGTTTTTAGTCTGTAGGAGGAAGCCATAGCAGGCACAGGCAGCCAATGGATTTACAATCAGGACTCTTTTGCTAGGAGGCTAACCACAGCAGTGCTAACCACTAAACAACACAAATATTAAATTATGATTTTGAAAAAAGTCAACTAAGTATATCAGGATGTAATGTAATCTATACTTAGGAAAAGGTAAAATATAGAATGAACAAGATGAATTATCTGGTCCAGTTTTATTCATTTAGGTAGATTTCTGTTAACTTTAGCGCAAGCTAGGCTAGGCTCTTTCTTCCCATTCCCATTTCTGCCTTCATATTTTATAGAGAAACACTAGATGCATGTTTTACCATATCTTTTATTAAAAATACCGTAAATGAACAGCAGATTCTCTCTCTCTTGATACCACCGTACCAGAAGCTTGATTTCATTCATTAACAACATACATGTACATATAAGTCCCTGTCTGGTTGGATTTCCTTTTTTGGCTTCCGTCCTCCAGCTCATTTGAAGGAGACACACACATAGACACACAACTGCTAATGGAACTGTTGCCATGAGGAAACATGTCGTCATAAAAAAATGTGGATGAGATTAAGCACTGTATGTTCCACCACTGATCAAAGCATCTCATGACGTTAATGCAACTGACATCAACAGTAAATGCAACCTTTTAAAAACAGAGTACTTGTATGCTGGACTTAGAGGTCGCAATGAGCGAATCTTAACACTCCATAAAAGCACGAATGAATCATCTCAGGTGCTTGTTCAGGAAATAGGCATAAAAACACTGGAAAAGCAATTTATTGCTAAAAAAACAAAAAAAATTGCTTTGAAACACTTTTGTTTTTATGAAAGCAACAAATATACAAAGAATCCAAAGCAGTGTTTGGTGATGAGTCTGAGAAACCATGCAGTCTGTAAAAGTATCAAATAAATTGCCTCAAATTGGTATATGACTCATCTATTTTTTAACCTTCTCTCATCCCTGTGTGTAAAATGTTTTGGTGTGTTGATGACCATTATAAATGTCATCTGCAATTATTCTTCAGAGATTTGTCAGAAACCATGAATGCTTTGATTAAAAAACCCTGTTACCATGAATCAAAATGAAAATTCAAAGCAAAACAACGTTGAATTTGAGATATTTGATGTCCTACCATAATCCCAGTGATAGGCCAATTAGACATAATTTATACTAGCATTATAGTTATACTAATGGCATCATAAATTAAGGTAATTAA